GGGGACACTGGATTAAAAAAAAAAATGAGGTACATATGTGTGCATGTAATTTAAACAAATAAATGAAGATGGATTTGTATGAGAATCCCATCTAAATGATACTTCATTTTTTAAATTACTTGGAGGGGGATTCTGGCATCATGAAGCAGAGGGCAAATGCCATAGGACAGGATGTGTTTCAGGACTGTGCATTATTAATATTCATAAGTGTTGGTCAGTTTGGTCTCCTGGTTAAGGGGCTGGACTAGGATTAGGCATGAGCTCTGCCTTAGGCGCAGATGCCAATTGACTTTGGGCCGGTCCCTCTCTCTCAGCCCTAGGACGAAGACAAGGGCAAAGCACTTCTGAAAATGTTGCCAAAGAGCCTGCAGAGACTTGTCCATGTAGTCACCAGGAGTCAGGGTTGAGTCAAAGGACTAGAACAGTAAGAACTTAGAGAACATCGTGCTGGAAGAGGAATGGATAGAACAAAGAAAAGACATGGATAAGGGAAGAAATGGATTAAAGAGATTGGAAATCCCCCCCCCCCCAAATTGGTTAAGGTGCCGGACTAGGGAACCTGATTATTGATCCTGCCTCAGGCACAGAAGCCAACTGGGTGACCTTGGGCCAGTCCCTTCTTCTCAGCCCCAGGATGAAGGCAGTGGTAAACTGCTTCTGCATATGTTGCCCAGAAAACTGAATGGATTTACCCAGGCAGTCACCAAGAGTCAAGACTGACTCAAAGCATGCACCCAAATCTAGATTTATCCATATGCACGGTATACTAACGTAGCACAATATACAGTACTGATTTCTGACTAGCTGGGTTTCTTTTTTGACAGTAGAGAAGCAGGACCGTGGAAGGAAAGGTACCTGGAGGGATCTAACAAACAGCAAAGCAAGAGTAACAAGAAGCAGAGGAAAGCAAATTCAGGGGCAAATGAAGTAGGGAAGCTAGAGTTACCATATCTGGGCTACCAACACCCAGACGACCATTGCATGCATCCTAAGGGTTATCTGGACATTTGCAGCCCAGAGAGGGTTGCCTTAAAAGTCAGTCTGAGACTTTGTGTGTGCTGAGAAGTTAGTGTTCCTAATCTTCAATACCAGGGACTGCTTTGACTTTAATTAGGAAGCACAAAAGCAAGCCCAAGGCTATTGGCAAGGTGAGGAGGTGCATCACATCTGTTTTTTGTCATTCAGGGTGGAAGCTAGAGTTTCGCTTTTCTTCCTTTGCTCCTTAGCACCACCTGCCGGACTCAGCTCTCAAACTGGCCACCAGCCACTACCCAAGGAACACGCTGCCTCTTGGTCAACTCCACAAGCAACTGCATTCCTTTCTAAAGTCAGTCATTTGTCTATTATTTCATTTTGCCCACTTTTGTTACCCAAGCTTATTCTTGAGCATAGGCTCAGGAACCAAGCAGGGTTAGGCCTAGTCAGTACCTAGATGGGAGACCGAGACTGACTGAATAAATCGTATTATGAACATGCTTCAAGTTAGTTAACACAACCCCCCTCTCCTTGCTCCTGCTTGTTTTCACGAGCGAGAAGGTCAAGAAGCTTGGCCATGCAATTATACGCTGCTGCACGGATAGTCCTTGCTGAGGACTGATCACAAGCTGGGTGGGGATGAGGGGTGTTGAAGTCCCAGCACATCTGGCCAGCCACCTCTTGGCTGGGAAGCTAAGAAAGGTTAAGCCTGGTTAGTACTTGACTAGGAACCTCCATAAAATACTAGAGCTGTAGTCTAATTTAGAAAAAGATTAGAGAAGGCACCAAATTCCAAATTACCACCAAGACAACTGTATGGACATATGTGTACCATGTCCTCAGGAGCTGAGCTCAGCTTGAGGGCATCTTTACCTCACCTTTGGTATCCATAGATCTTTTCTTGTTATGTACTTCATTTTCCCTCTCTTTGCAATCAAGAAAACATTCCTTCTGTAATTCTCCATCTACAAGTTATGCGGCCAACGTCTCATTTCCTTTTTTAAATCACCAATTCCAATTTTGGCAAAATCTCACTTTCTGCCTATCTTGACATAGTGGGAAACCTATCTTTTATTAAAGGGATGATTCAATGTTTGGCTTTTCTGTTTTGTTTTATGCACTAAGTACTAACTGGGACCACATCTCATGCTAAATCAGAATGTAGTTTGTTTGGGGTTTAAACTCAGGCAGTGATGGCTTTTAAGAACCCACTGGTACAAAAAGCACGGATTTGTGGATTGTGTAAAACTAATTGTTGACTGTCAAAAAATACCCCCAAGACAGACAGACAGACAGACAGACAGATGGTAGGCAGGTAGCTTTGGAACTCAATATATAAAAGTTTGCTTTCAGAAAACCCATCTAAGACTCCATATTCAACTCCTGCTTTCACATGTGCAAAGAAAAACAGGAGTGTGATGCTGCAACCCTGCACATAGATTTCTGCAGTTGCTACCCCTGAATCCTCCAGGTGGGAGATGAAATTGGAATTGATACAATTTTTGAATCTGTATGTCCACATCTAAAGTTAATATTGCTGTGCTAACAGAAACAGGATAGAATCTAAATTAATTTCTTGTAGCAATCAGTCCTGGCAAATCTATGAATTATGGAAAAGAACATTTGCTAATTCCATGATAGTCAGTGGTATAAAGTCTAATAAATACATAATCTTTTTCAAAATCCTGGTAACACAGAGAGGTTTCTCGAGGTACCAGTGTGAGGCTACCACCATAACAGCTCTGTCCAACCATGACATATATATACAGTACTCCCAAACACAGACACAAGTAAACACACCATTCCTAATAGGGTTTTCATGGCATTGTCCTGCCAGTGTGTAGTTTCTAACTCTCTTTCTCTCTCCTGCTCCTTATTCAACACACCCAAGACAAAAATAACGTGCCTGGCACAATTTCCTTGGACTTGAACTTCTTGGTTGGGGTGAAAACAAAGGATCTCAAGGATGACCCTGAGCCTTTACAAAATGAGGGTGAGCAAACGGTTAAGTCAAGCAAGTTGAAGCACAGATCATGTACACAGAGTGCCCAACTGCCTTTCTGGGGAATCCTGCATCCAGGATTCCTCCTTGGTGGATACACATCAATAGGATTCAAAACTAGAATCCTATGCCCTTCTATTTTCAATAAAGACCTAAGAGGCAAGTCAGATAGGTTTATTGATTTATTTTGCAATCAACTGATTCCTTGACTCAGTAGTAGTAGTAGTTGTTATTCAAGTGGGAAAGAAAGCTGACATGGAAAGGCAAAGGGATCCCTTCAAGACCAGATCCCTTCAATCTGAGCAGAAAATAGGATTTTAAAAGAAACACCTAAAGAGAACTAAGACATGGAGACTAGGGATTCAATTCATATGACACAAGAGCCTTATTGCTGAGTTCTGTGTAATTACAGAGAGCTGAAGGGCCCTAGGAAGTTGAAGAAGAAACAACTTTGGGTCAAACGGCAAGAAAATCAATCTACAACATCCAGTCCACTGACAAAACCCTGTATGGAATTCTCCATTTCTGATTACTCTAGAAACAGCTGCTTTGAGCTCTCAGACTTTAATTAGCAGCAAAAAGGAAAAAAGAGATAACTTGATGCTCTCCAGAAATCTTGGGTTACAACTCCAAAAACTTCTGGCTATCAACCATGCTGGCTGGGCTTTGGTTGCCCCAGATGTGATATGGTTGATGGACAGATAAGAGTTGGGAATTACAATAGGACACAATTTTTTCCCCTGCAAATTTTATTTAACTAAATGAAGTGTATTTATTTAATTAAAATAAATCTTTAAGTTTTCCCTCCCGTTGTTGTTCTTCAAAAGTGAGACTAATCAATTTCTAAATTCAACTTTGCGAGCAGGAGGGTAATTTTGCCTGAGATGTTTCTAGCTATAGAAACTGGACTTACGATATCCTAGAGCATCTTTAGATTTACAGTTGTAACAAACCAGACATCTGTTCATCCTCAGCAAAGCTTTTCAAAGCCTAAACTGACAAACAGAACTGCAGTTAAGAAAAGCAAAACTTGTAATAAAATATGAAGCTTCCATCATTCTTTTCCATTTTGAAGGTAAATTATTTGGATTAGGTCAACGGCAAAACACTTTAGCCCCAGCCCTACATTTGTTTATTTATTTATACGATTTATATGGCCGCCCATCTCACAGCAACGACTCTAATTAGACCACAGCTTCTTTATTGAAAATCCATAGAAGAAACTTGTTTGGAGTTCTATGTTATGTCTAATTTGGCAGAAGGGATCAAGACCGAAATGCATCTGGTAAGAGGCAAAGCTTCAGGCACCGTATGAATAAAATCAGGTTCCTCTGAGTCCTGATCACAGGAAGCCAGTGGTTTTGAGCAGGTTCTCTTGAAGTAGAGAGCCCTGTTTTCTCCCAGTGATCTTACTCAGAATCATTGATCTCCCATTGCTATTAATAATTCACTGTTCATTATTGGCCAACCGTTTGTGCTAATCAAGTGGCTGATGGGGACTCTCACGGCCCAGACTTTTTGCCCAACCTGTATGCTGCCCATCTCTGGCCTATATTGATTTGTGGATTGTCCATCAGCTCAGTGGTCAACTTCGAATTTTTAAAACAGTGGCCCATCTTTCTGTGGCCTTCTGAAGCCCCAATTCCACGGCAAACAAAGTAGCAGTACTCTGTGGTTCTCCTTTATTCATTCCTTGTCTTTGGATGTGTTTTTGCCTATAATAAATTACAGGACCCACTTAATACCCAATTGGACTAAGTGTCAAATCCCAAAAGTGATAAAGTTTTAGACATCAAAACCTTGATTCTCAACAGGTTCGGTATGGGTAAGTTGTTCCCCTTCCTTTCCTTTCTTCCAGAAGGAGGAACACCATCTACATATCTTATTGCCCTTCATTTGCTGGAAAGACCATTTGAGCTGGCAGATTCTAAAGAGAAGGTAGGTTCATGGCTCTGCCAAGGGGGGAAACATTCACCCAGTGGAAATGTCTCAGAATTATACAAAATTAATGGTACAAAGCAAAACAAATCAGTGCAGATATATTTACAACGAACACATTAAAAAACACAAGCTTCAGCACGGTTTTGTGCATAAAACAATCACAAAAATATACAATTTATTTAAAGCTGAAACTACCTCTGCCCCACTTAGTTGTATAAAATGAATTGTTTCTCGATTCTGTTTATCTGCAAACTGTACTCCTGAACCTGCTATTATGCTATTTGTGATAATTTTTGTATTGAGGAATCCACATTCTAACACTGGAACAAGTCAAGAATTACCAGGTATTCATAACTGTTGAAGTTTGGCTTTGGAGTCCAATCTGCATAGTTACACCATATCCACAGTTTCAACCAACTAGCAAATGTATTATAGTGAATACAGAGGTTACATGCATAGCTGCTGTTGGAGAAATGCTGTTAATGAAAACCGTTTCTGAAAAGCCCAAGTCAACCAAGATTTTTCATCTAAGCAATTTTTCTTTAATCAAAACATGTATTTTGAAGGGAAAGTAACAGCAAACACACAATCAACTTAACAGCATTTAAAATGAGTTAAATGGGGTTGCTAGTTCACTACCTGAGAGCCATTTTTTAATTTTGTTTTGCTTCTCCCACTGTTCCTCGAAATTAGGAGATCTCAGCTCATGTGAGAGGGGACTCAAGGCATCAACAGAAGGCAACTAATGTGGGAAGTGCCCATTCCTGGTCAAAGTATTGAAATATGAATCAAAGCTCTGGATGAAAAAAAAAAAAAGGCAATTTTGGGCATCTGATCCCCAGGCCCACTTTGCTCGGGCAATGCTACTAGATCCTAACCTGCATAGAGTTATGGTCCTCTTCTGAGGCCTAAAACATGGAGAGGTTCTGACACACATCTGAAGATTCAGGGCAGAAGTAGGCAATTTGGTTTTCCTTGCCCAGGGGTCCTGGACTTCAACTGCAATCAGCCTCAGCAACCACAGAGGGTAGCAAAGGATTGTAGATGATGTAATCCAAAACATTACCTATCCTGATCTAATACGCCTCACCTCCAGTAAACATCTATTTTCCTACTTTTCTTCCAACTTCATCTGTGATAGAGGAAAGGTGGGCCAAGGCACTCAGGAAAAGAAGTTTGAAGGACAATCTAAGTGTCTTGGAAGGCCCCAAAGTGTCATACCATTTATGGAGCCTCAAAAGCACAGAAGAGTTTTAGTCCCAGTCCAGAAATTCCTTGAGGACATTTGGAGAGCCATTGAGTCTACAAAGGCATCATCACCATCATCATCATCATCATCATCATCATCATCACACAAAGCAATATATTGTTTGTACTGATGTTTCCGTGTCAATAAATAGAAAATCCCACTTCTTAAAATCCTGTTTGCATGCTGGCATGGCCTTGGGGCTACAGACTCCAGACAATGACAATGCAATAGGAAAAACATAACAAAATAAACTCGGTGTACCTTTTTTTCTTCTTTTTTTGCATCTACGAACACGTGCAAAGTAATCTGCAGAAAGCATTTAAGCCCTCAGTTTGACAACTTAGTAAGTCTTTCATTCTACCCGCCTGACCTTTTTATTTTACTTTCTCATAAAGCATGAAAAAGTATTCAGAGATAAAAATAATAGGCTGTGTTTGTGTTTTACTATGGCAATAATACCTGATTCAATTACAGGAGACAGAAAACAAACAGAACAACCCGACTGTTTTGCAGAAGATTAAAGTGGCATATCGCTACCCAACAATAGTGTGCATGACTGAGAATTCTGGAACTCTGATCAAAAGCAGATTTCCTAATAAATTAGTTGAATCAACCATAACAAAAAAACAAACAAATCAACAACCTCCCACCCCTCATATAAAACATAATACAAATAATTTTTGCCTGTCAGTCAACATAAAACCTTCAGGAACTATTCTCTCTCTCTTTATAGATAGATATAGATATAATTATAGATTTCCTGAATATTTTTTTTAAATAATTTTTTTTCTTAGGAAAAAGAAACACACACAGAAAGGAAACATGAAGATAGCTGAAATTGATCCTGAGAGAACTGTGTTTTTTCAGGCAAGTAAATTCATGAGTCTGGGGTGCAGATTTTGAGCAAGTGCCCCCTGAAACTTACAGGGGTTTGTAGCAGCAGGGTTTCAAAAAATGAAGGCCCCAGGGAATTGGGAAACTAAGCTAGGTAAGGGTATCCAGAGGGGAGGACAAAAACGTCAAGATGGCATTTATGACTTCACAATCAAAGCCCCACCCCTGAAGCTAAGCTAGTCATATTGTTCCATGTTCTCGGCTTCTGTGACCTGGCCTTCCTCCAGTGGAAAATGTCCTATTCAGTCCCCTTTCTCCTCATCTTGACTTCATTCACGTAGGACACTTTGTAAGCAGCTCAGGTCAAGTTCCCCAGAGGTAGAAAGGTGTTGGTGACCAAAGGCTTAATGCTTTAGGGGATGGAGACTCATTGAGAGCAAAGATGTCACAAACAGAACAGAGCCCATCACATACCTGGGATTTTCTTTGAGGCTTTTTCAGGTTTGGGACTTTGGCTCTCTCTTTTCAAACGGTGATAATCCTGCTTTAGGGTTTGCGTTGCTGTTCTCATATATTTCCAGCATCCAAACTGCAGGGAATCACCAATGTTTGGTCTGAGGTGATTCCAGAGAACCTAGAGAAGGGCTTCAGGAGTTGCCCACCTCTGGCCCAGAACACCCTCAGAGCATGCTTCTCCTCCCCTTGCATTTTTAGGCATTACGTATCAGACGCTAAGACACAGCAGCGTGCTCTCCGTTCAAGTGGGCCAAAACCAGAGATGTTGTCTGCCTCCAAAAGGTGATAATCTAAATCATCACGCAAGGAACAGAAGAAGAAAATCAGCCCAGTGTTCCCACACAAGGTGCAAGATGCACAAACAATTCAAAGGACAGGATTCCCTTCAAACCTCTAAGCTCTATCTAGTCAGTTTGCAGAGGTCAGCTAGAAATAAGGGACTGGCATCCTATGACTGGGGTGGGCAACCATTTAACAATGTTCAGTCTTGTATTTGACTCATTACTTCTCATCAAAAGGTGGAAAAGTTTCTGCAGTGCAATCTGGGTGTGTCTATCCCGGTAAAAAATTAAACTGGAAATCACTTTTATCCCACACAGTGCCCATCACAATCAGTGATGTGGAGCACAGGGCAATGGAGAATTTGATGAGGCCCTGCCATACCATTTCATTAATGCACACTGCAAGGAAGGATTCTCTTAATGGCAGACTCTCCAGTGCCCCTTCTGTTTTCATCTTATTCTTTCAAAGCCAGAAGAAATGTCCCCAGATTCCAACTACCCACAAGTTCTCAGAGGATCAAAGTCATTGACAATGGAAAATATCTCACAGAATCAAAAGTGTGCCCAGGAAGCATAGCTTTGTAAGATTAAATTGAAGTTTGGAAAGAAGAACAATGAAAGAAACCCAACAACAGAAATTCTCACTAATCAACCTGATTTGAAATTTCATAGCGGTGTGCTACAAAGTGTAATCATTATTTCTTTTTTCTTTTTCAGCCGATACAAAAATAATGTATTGCAACTCAAAAGTGCTTTTTAGTTTTGTTTTTAAAATAAACAGTTGACTTTTTTCTTTATCAAATAAAATATTTACACCATTTTTGCTTTCCGGAATCAGAAATGCTCTTCATGCTATTACCATGGGGACGTCATCTGAAAAACCTGTGATCATTGCTGCTTCATCATCTTCATCTCCTGGTAAAACAAGTCACAAGGTTATTGACACAAAATGACGTGAGTCATTCAATACATGAAGAAATGTGGAGATTGGCATGAGGGATCACTGGCGGCAGAAAATATTCCTACCTCCCCAGTGATCCACAGAATCAGCACTTTGGAAAGGTCCAATGAGGCCACCTAATCCAAACTTAATATAGGAACCAAATTAAAGCATTCATTCATTCATTCATTCATTCATTCATTCATTCATTCATTCATTCATTCATTCACCACCCAACTCCAATGGACTCTGGAGACAGCTGTCCAGCCTCTGCTTGAACACATCCAGTCATTTCTGACTCATATTCATCCAAGTCCCTTTTCATATGTCCTCCTGCCAGGTATCTAATACCTGTGAGTTTGTTACCATTCCCTAAATGAAGAACTTGTTATCTGTTTCTATCAAACTGCAATTTGTTATTTTCCACTCACTTTTCAAACCTATCAGGTCAGTTCTAAACATTAACTTGGCCTTCTGGAATATTAGCTACCCCACTCGTTTTTGTATCATCCGCAAATCTGAGCATTATCTTCACCTCTTCATCCAAACTGTTAATGAAAATGCCATTCAGCCATATTTAATTAGCTTGCTATCAGAATGTCACATATCTTGCTGAAGTCAAGATATAGTCCATCTGCAGTATTCCCCAATCTACTAGAGAAGTTATCTGGTTAAAAAAATGAGATAAGGACAATCTGATAAGACTTGTTTTTGATAAATTCACACTGCTTTTGGATAATCTCATATTGTTTTCAGGGGACTTATAAACTGATTGCTTTATGATCTGCTCTAAAGTCTCCCTAGCTACCAGTGCCAGGTTGATTGGCCAATAGTTCCTTCAATCTGTTTTATTCCCTCTTCTTGAAAAAAGACCACCAGCAAGTTCCTCCAGTACTGTAAGATGCAATCCACCTAGCCCCTTCGACCAGTTCTCCATAACTACCCAGTGGAATGTATATCTTCTCAGAGAAGACTGTCCCAAAAATTGCACGAGAGGTGCAAACCATAATTCAATGGTTCAGAGCTCTTGTTGACATTTAAATGGTACTTGGTTCAATTTCCAGAATCTCCATATTAGCTTAAAAAAACCCTGCCTAAAAACCCAGAGGTCTGCAGCTAGTCAATATAAGTCAGGGGTGTGCTACTTTTGTGATCCTAGAGCTGCACCTGGCCCTTTAGCAATGTGTTGGAGGTGTCCTCCAGAAAGACCAGGAGACGATGTGGACGGAGGTAGTGCAAAGCCCAAATTTACTTAATTTTAAATGTAGTTAATAAAATTGATTCAATATCATTCATGTGATTCATCCCATGCCTTTAAAAATTTCCCCATTCAGTCAACTTAAAAATGATGAGGTTTTTTTTCTTTGGGGAAGGGGGGATATGCACTCCTGAAATCAATAATACAAAGTTGGGCCAACAGTCTCTATAAGGCAGCTTTCTACATTCCTAATTGGGCTGTGAAGCAGATGGTGGACCTATTAGTTCCACATGGATCCCAAACCCTTTCCTACCAGATGTAGCTAAATAACCACTGCAATGGAAATTGAACAAGCTGATTATTCATACTAAACCTCAGTCCAGGTACAGCCAACGCTTGTACCTTGATGTAAATCCAACAGGGCTTCACCTTTCTGAACTCCACCTAAGCGTTCATAAGAACAGAACACCACTTACCTAAATCATCCCCAGAGGAGAATATGGCAGACCCCAGTCGGGAGTTGTAGTGACTGTTGGCAAAGGCTGTGAAGCTATTTTGAAGTCTTCGATGCCTCATGTACAAGACCACAAACCCAACACCCACTGTCACTAGTAAAAGAAATAAGACTGGCACCACGATAGCAGCAACATCTTTAGATTTACCCAATATTGATGCAGTGGCATCATCTCCACCTATGGAAAGGGAAAAAGGTTGAAGAGAGGAAAGAAAAGAAAGGGGAAAGACAAAAAGATGAATGAGTAGAACTCAAGGAGACTCAGTTGATACAAGTAAGTTCTCAGAATAAATTCAGAATCATTCTCAACATGCTACTGTTGAGCAGAAGACCAGACACTGGCCAGCTGGAACAAATATGGTCACTAAGAAGGATTCAAATTCATGTCTCTGTCTCTGCTCTTCTGGGGGTCCAAACAGCAATGGTGTGGAGAAGCTGCCTAGAAGTGACAATAGAAGAGGGAGGCATTCTTCCTACCTCTTCCCAACTCACTGTAGAGAAGAGTTGCAGGCTCCCCGCACATCTGCCCACTGTACAGACATCTTGCTTGCACCGTGAATGAGTAATTGTGGCCAGCCTTCAGGTGGGAAACTTTGAAGACATTCTCAGTAGTGTTCCCCAGATATGTTGTGGTGTTGGTCCCACTGTCAAACATGTGGACCTCATACCCCTGAATGTTGGGGAAAATAAACTCATTTAAGGCGAATGGAAGGACTAGAGAGTGTATTTATGATTATGCTGATGGTTACTTTTATTGGCTGGTGACCAAAATGTCAGTGTTCTCTGGATACGTAGGTACATTACTGCAATTCTTGCATCTTCCCACATTTTACGCTTTCAGTCCTGCAAGGTGGGCTGAACTGAGAGCAAGCAAATGATCCAAAGTCAATTCACAACCTTTCTGCCTGAATGCAAATTTGAACCCGGGACACCCTAACGCTCACTGGCTGACTTCCATCTGTTTTACTACAAGGAAATAATGTCCCCCGTAACCCACAAAAAACATAGAAGGGCAAAACTGCTTCTTCCTCTCCAGAAATAAATGACGGCAAGCCCTTGGGGCTGGTAGGAGATCTAGAATGGTCTAGAAATGCTTTGTGCAACCATGAAGGTACTCACTCAGAGCACAGAGAGGAGACCAGGAAGAAAATGGGAAGAAGCAGCTTATGGGATTTGTCAGGGGAGAAACAGAAAAGGCAGAAAACCTTTTTTATTTTCCAAAACTTCGAATGCCCTGTAGATTATTTTTATGATGTTTGAAGTCTGTTTCAGGTCCACTATCTGCTTTCAAGCTGGTGGTATTTCATCCCATTCCATTTTCCCTTACTCTACAGAAGAACAGAAGCTTTGAAAACCTGGTTTTGGTCCCAGACCTGGGGTTGATGTTTATTATTTGTTCAATGCCCCTGTTTTGTTCTGTTGATGTTGTTGTTTATTAGATTATTTTAGTCTGGGCTGTCTGTTTGATTTAATGTTTTTAGCTGTTTTTATGTTTTCTCTAGTTT